AGAGAGAAAGAATTTTCAATATTTATTTTCTAGTTCTCGGCGGACACAACATTCTTGTTGGTATGTGGTGCTGAGGATCGAACCCGGGCCGCACGCATGCCAGGCGAGCGCGCTACCACTTGAGCCACATYCGCAGCCCCGTTCTTTCACTTATAATTAGCTATGGATGCTTTCACACTATGACAGCAGAGCTAATTCGTTGTGGCAAGGATCACAAAGTCCACAAAGCTTAAAATAATTACTATCTATCTGGCCTTTTTTAAAAAAAAAAAGTTTGCTCACCCCTAGGCTAAACCACAAAGTCCAAAGGAATTCTGGTTTGCTCTCTGTCTCAAAGATCCAGAAGTTGTTTTTAAGCTTTTTATTCAATGTGGCAGGTACTATTATTACTTCTAGAGTAATGATGAAATCATAGTACAAAAAGTTTGGCAGACTGCCTGGTCATACAGGTAATAAATGACCTGAGCAGGACCTGTAGTGCTCTTAACCATTCTCAGGCACGGGTTAGAAATCCATGTTATATTCTCAAACATTCCAAATACATACCGTTACACTTTTTTTTTCCCCCCTCAAATGACCACATATATTCATTAATGACCACATATATTCATCAAATTAAGCAATGTTCATTTTTTATCTTACAGATAAAACAGGAGAGGGCTTCCCAAAAAGTCTTTCTATAATGATTGCTTACTTCTTGCTGCCAGTATAGCTCCTGTTAAGGCACCACTAGTGATGGAGTTCCAGGGATCTTCTTTTCCTCTGACTTGAACCATACTACAATCAATCATAGAGAACAGGCCTCCCCAAACTGCAAAACTACCTATTTCATCATAAAAACAAACAAATACACATAAAAATTTCTTTTAACCCTTAAACTGTTCATTTGAAACAACATTTACCACATTTATGAAATTCTCACACTCCAAATATGTACAAACACTGAACAAAAGTCAGAATACTTTATCTTTTCTTTTTTTTTTTTAAATATTTTATTTACATTTTAGTTTTCGGCAGACACAACATCTTTGTTTGTGGTGCTGAGGATTGAACCCGGGCCACGTGCGTGCTACCACTTGAGCCACATCCCCAGCCCCACTTTATCTTTTCTTTTTGGTGGTACTGTGGATCATTAGGCAAGGGATGACTTGCCACTCCAGTTACATCCTCAGCCCTAAATTTTTCCTTCTTTCTTTTTTTGGTACTATATATTGAACCCAGTGGTGTTCTTTCACTGAACCACCTCCTTGGCACTTTTTATTTTGAGATACAGTCTAAGTTGCTGAGGGTTTTGCTAAATTGCTGAGGCTGGGCTCAAACTTGGGATCCTCCTGCCTCAGTCTCCCAAGTTGCTAAAATTATAAGTGTATGCCACCACGCCTGCATTACAATTTTCACTTCTAAGGAATGCAAAGTAAAAAGTTTTCTTATGTCTTAAGAAAACAGTTGTCTCCACTTGGCTATATCTTTGTATGTGAATATAATTTCCATTTTTTCATCTCCCTTTTCTCAGCTTCTGAATAACCAAGTTTTATAAGCACAATGCAAGCACCAATGCTTGCACAATGAGTAAAAGAGAACCTTGGAGAAAAACCCAACCAGCTTGATCAGTTTCTCTCTTATGAAATCCTAACCCTTCAGATCACATTCTCTTCAACTTTACATTACTCCAGAAACTATTACTGACTTGCCAACACACTGTTGTTGTTTTTTTTCTGGAGCAGGAAAAGGGAAAAAAATTTTTAAACCCTGAACATCTGAAGGATAGACATAAGATTCTCAAGTATATGCAATAATTCAGTTAACTTTCCCACACATAAATCAAGAACTTATAGGGATCCTAGTTTGTGACAAGATGTTAAACTAAAATCCTCACTAACAAAAAAAATATAATAGTTTCATCATCAAATTAACAGAAAAAAACAGACTAGAGTACAAATGGAAAATACTGCTTACCTCCCAATTGTGGAGCCCTGGTTCTAATAGCTGTCAAACTCCCTCGTAGTCTGTGGTTTACTCCCTATCACAAAACAAAAGGCATCGGTCCAGATTACTACACATTAGATGTGTAAGACATTACTAACCTGCTAATGGGGATGCCAGAAATATTAACAAACTCCAGTTTTCAGGGAAGATATATAAGACCAATCCCCTACTTACCACTGGAGAATTTCGAAAACCTTTGATTGCTTGAAAGATACCACCACCTATGGTACCCATCGTAAAGGCCCCACCACAGTCATCCACAATTCGCCAGGGGCTAAGGACAGAGGAGGAAAAAAAAAATGACCTTATTTCTCATTCATAAGCCATAAAACTTTCTTTGCTAACACAATAAGGGATACAACAGATTCCAATTCAGGATCCACTGCAATCAGCAAACATGTGGTCTATAAA